TAAAGCTGGAGGTATTATTCTTCTCCCATTTCTAAAGGAAAACTTTACGGACGAGGAACAATGGACACAAAGGCCCTGTGTTAGCTTGGATGAACGCTGCAAGCGCCCTCAGAGCCCTGGAGTAAGTAGGTGGCCAGTCGTGTCTGGGAGACAGCAGGAGCAGGAGGAGTGTGGGCGCTAATGACACTCCCCACGTCACTTACAGTCCCCAGAAGTCTTCGGAGGTGTGCACTATAACTACATCCGCTTCACAGATGACAAGAGTAAGGCTTGGGAAGCTTAGGGAACTTTCTCAAGTGACAGCTCCATCTGTCCAGTATGGATTGAGCCTATAATGCTGTTACCACATTCAAAAACAAAACAGCAAAAAACAGGATGAGCCTGTGGCTAAGTTATTGTCTGCTGGGACTTGCCCTTGTTTTTAACTCTCATCTTTTTTTGTCTTACCTTTCTTCTTATCACGAAGTATGATTTTGTTAACAAATACACTCAGTCACTTTAAAAAACATATCAGGTGCTTTGCAAATGATCAAGACAGAAATCTCTGCTACTTGACATTCTGTCTGAATCCTTGGGTCTCTTTTCCCAAGAGTCCAGTGGTCCTCATTAGACAGCCACAGAGGTATCTGGGAGGAGGGTAGAGTGCAGCGTTGAATGGGGTGGGCCCTCTCTTTCCGGCCACCAGAGAACATTATTGGTGAATCCAGATTTTCATTTTTAACTGTCTCATAATGTGTTCTCAAAGGAATGGTTTCATCTCAAACTACTCTCTTCTCTTCTACTCATGAACGTGCTCAGACTCCAAGAGAGGATTGAACCTAGCTGTGTGGCCACGGGCAAGTGACCTGACCTTTTGGCCTCTGATTCCATCCTGTGGCAATGAGCGCATCGATCCAGGTGGCCCCCTCTCTGACACTGCGTGTCTCAGTCCCTATTTCCATTTCACACAGAAATGCCAGCATGGATCCTAAGCAACCTTGAGGTAGGGACAGCCTGGAACTTCGCTGCCAGCCCCCTCCCACTCCCCATCCAGGACATCTGAGAACCTGCTTGTTGGGAGGACCCCCCCCACTGTTGCTGGGCCAGCTCTGTGTTCAGAGAAACTTGTGAGGAAGAAGGCAGCTTCCGGCTTGAAATTGCGTAAGAGGGGAGGACAGTCACTACCATGACTCCCAAGGCTCTTGTCATGGGAAGCCAACCTGCTGTCTGCTCCCTGGACTTCAAAGTTGTGGGAATACTGTGTGCCAGGCACTACGGGGGGTCCTGGGGCTGCAAGTGCAGATGTACATGGGCCTGGACTTGGGTGTTTGCACCTGACTCCCTGGTTCACACTGGACCTGCTTCATGGCTCTGGGACTTCTAGGACACAGTGAGATGGCCTTAGCATTCTAGAAAGCTCTAGAACCAGTTTCTCTTCTGCTCAGACCCAACTTACTGGGTGTCCATTGTTCAATGTTCCTCGAAGTACAGTTTGGAATAGGAAGTCTGATGTCAGTAATTTTGCAATCATATGATTGATGGTTTACAGAAATATTCAGAAGCAGCTCCTAGAAACATTATTCCTTGCAGTGTTCCAACAGCAAGGAGGCTATGTGCTGGCTTTGCAGGTGGTGGGACATGCATGGGAATTAGAGCTGCTTCCAAACTCAACCTAACAAAGCATTAGCTCTGGGACCTTGTGTGCAGAAGGATTTCATGGAGTAACCTTAAAAGCAGACAGCCTTTCTACCTTTTCCTCCTCTTACTTACATGCCTTCATTGCACTGAGCGCTTTTGAACACTATTGAAGAAGAAAACAGGGCCCATTTGTGGGGTTTACAGACAAAGAAGAAAATGGCATGACTCACAGCACAAACCCTGTGCCCATCCTCCCTCTGCTCCAGGCAGAAGGCTCTGGGGAGCGGCGCCCTTTGGAGACAGAGGAGGTTTGAGGCCTAAGTTTCTGCGGTATCACCTGTGCTGGGCAGAGCCACCTCAGGGCACTGTCTGCATAGGATAAACGCACCGGTGGAGCAGCCCTGCCCAGCCCGAGGCTTCAGGCTTAGATCCTGACAGTGCTGCTCCCAAGTCCCATCCATCACAGCAGACGTCCTTCCAGGATGCCTGTCCTGGAGGCTGCTCATCAGATGCCAGGGCCTTCTCTCTCAGGAGTTTATCTTCTCCTGAGACATAGGTAGATGAGAGGGGAGTTAACTACTCTGGACTCAACTCCGTTATCTGGCTGAGAAAGACAAACTCAATAAATCAGAACCTATTTCAGGTTGGGTCCTGCTGACCGCTACAAAGCCGCCTTCTTATCCATGATGCTTGCACTAAATAAGCCCCAAACATTTCATGTGGCCTTGGCTTCTCTCGCTCTCCTTCCCTCTCTCTCTTTCTCTCTCTCCTTTCTTTCTTTTTCCCTCTCTCTCTCTCTCCCCCTTCCTTCCTTCCCTCCTTTCTTCCTCTCTTTTCTTTTATTTTTCTTTTTTCTAAGGAATAAGCAATATTTGTAAGAAAGTTCCTACATATGAAGGCCAAAATCTGCTTTGCTTTTTTTTTTGGTGGCCGCTTGTACAGGGATGGAACCGTGGACCTTGGTGTCATCAGCACCACGCTCTAACCAACTGAGCTAGCCGGCCAGCACTGCTTTATTTTTAAAATTTCAACTCTGAAAGTTACCTACTCATACTCAAAAACAAAACATAAGAAACATTCAGTGCCCGTGGACAAATCAGTTAATCTCTGTGAGCCTCATTTTCATCATCAGTGAACTAGGAATGATAATTTCTACCTCTCAGGTGTGTGAGAAGGTTAAATGAAGAGATGTCTGCAGAGGTGCTCTCATGGCACCCGGCCTTCGGTGGGTTAGATCCCCTCCGCTCCCCTCTCCCGTCCTGCCTGCAGAGCGCTGGACCACACAGCAGCGCACCACACACTCTCCCTGAGGGGACGAGGGTTCAAGTGCACACTTCACATGCAGAGGTGAGTGTGGACGGCAACCTGCAGGTCCGCCTGCTGGCCCTCCAACACGTAGCAGCTATTGGTTTGTATTTTATTAAACGCGATTTGCCAAAAACCTCTTAGGATTTCCAACTACTTCTCAGCAATTGTTTGCTACTTTAACGTTAATAAAGAACTTAGGAATATTAAGATTTCAGAACTTTAGGTTGACTTCCTGAGACACACAGAAACACAAGGGATGCATTTGAATGAATCATTATCCCAAAATGCCTTTATCCAACTGCCTTTCTTTCTGTTTTTTTTTTTTTAAAGTAATGATACTGTTTATTGAGAATTAGTTAAAGTGATGAGACACTGGAAATAACCAAAACGTTTTATGTGGGACATTCGTTTCTGAACATACAGTGCATTCATAAAATGAAATATTACTCAGCTATGTTTTAAGAAAATCTTTTTTTAATCCAATTCAGAATCAAGTTTATTTTTTATTGAAATATTGATTATACATGTTTATGGGTACAGAGTTATATTTTAATACATGTATACAATGTGTGGTGATCAAATCAGGGTAATTAGCATATTCATCATTGCAAAAAATCATTTCTTTGTGATGTGAACATTTGATCTCTCCTAGACATTTGATAACATACAGTAAATCATTATTAATGGAAAATAAGGTCTATTGGTGTACAGCTGAGCTAGGCATCCAACTTCTTTTCTGTTTATTTCCGACTTATTTTCTAACACGTAATCCTTTGTTTATCAGAGGGGAGTCGATCCCCCTCCTTAGAACTGATCAGCATGTTTATGCTGGGCCATTTATCATCATGTAATTACTTTGAGAGTTCTCTTGCATATGTTCTGTGCTCTACAAAAAGATTTGACCTCTCCCCTTAATGTGGCTCTCAAAGATATGAAGTTATAAATTATAAAGATACAAAAAGATCAAAGCTAAATGGGGAAGAGGCACGTTGTAAAAATTTTAAAGGAGCTATTCCGTGCCCTAATATTAACTAGAGAAAAACTCGTTTCATTTTGCTTCAAGATCAAAGCCTCTGAATAAGTTAAAAGGCAGATTGAAATCATAGCTGAAAAATAACAGATACTTGAAATAAAAATTATCCTGAGGCTTAACAATCTTTCAAAGGAACGAGTTTTCATTTATCATGTTCAGAATTATGAGGACAGAAAAATGATTTGTAATTGAGTAACCTTTCTTGAAAAATTTCTTTTGGGGAGAATGAGGAAAGCACCTCGCTCTGCAGCAACACAGTAAAGCTCTGTGGGGTAGATGTTGCTTTTTCTTTAGGAATTCCTTCCCCAAGTTCATTACCAAACATTAACCTGGTGGGCCACGCTGGAGTGTGTGCACTGGGCATCACCTTGAATTCTCCTTCACAATCTCAGTTAAAACTCCATTGCTGCAAACAGAGCTGTTGGGAACAGTCATCCGTACATTGAACGTAAATACTAACTAAATGCATGTATTTTAAAACCAAACAAATCCTGGATCTTAAAAGGTAAATGGGCAAGCTGTGCATTTTTTTGTTCTGTTGTTAATTCAGGATCTCCCTGTGAATATCAAATTCATCGTTGAAGGGATGTAATGCATGTATTTTAAAACCAAACAAATCCTGGATCTTAAAAGGTAAATGGGCAAGCTGTGCATGTTTTTGTTCTGTTGTTAATTCAGGATCTCCCTGTGAATATCAAATTCATCGTTGAAGGGATGGAAGATGCTGGTTCTGTTGCCCTGGAGGAACTTGTCAAAAAAGAGAAGGACTGATCCTTCTCCAGCATGGACTACATCGTAATTTCAGATAATCTGTGGATCAGCCACAGGAAGCTGGCACTCATTTTTGGAACCCTGGGGGAACAAGCTACTTCATGCTGGAGGTCTTCTCAGACAAGAGCGTGGAGGGAGGTCTTCACAGACAAGACCATGAGCAGGAGTGAGGAATCCATCCTGTGTGCTTGGAGAGGAAGGGAGGAACCTGGGACACTCAGCCTGGGCAGGGGCGTCACAGAAGTCTTGCAATTGGGGAGTTCACAAATGCTCCAAAACTTGGAGCGGATGTGCTTATATGGGCATTTTTACTGAAAGAGAATTCATAGGGGGTTGGGACTCACAATCCAAAAGGTTTAGAAACTGTGGCTATGGAGTTTGGTGGCAGGAATAGCAGCCCACGGAGAGATAAGGCAACTGCCTGATCAGATGCATGGATGTTGTAACATTACCTGCTCCACGGTGTGTGCCTGGGGTCTCGATGGCAGGAGACCCAAGTGTGGTGGTGCAGGGGAAAGAGAAGGGGCACTGGCATCGCCAAGGCCTGCATCTGAATTCTGGCTCCTACAGGTATAGCCTTGGGCAGGTGTCTTAACCCATGAGCCTTAGTTACCCACCTCGAAAGTTGGCACAATGATGTCCCCTCCCAGGAATGTTGTGATCACTACATGTGATATTTAGTTCAGGGCTGGTGCGTAGTTTCCTTCTCTTTTTCTCTTTTTCTATGAATATAGGCAACTTATGCTAACGCATACAACTGAGAATCAGAAAGTCCCTCTGGGCAAATAATTAGTTATTTAGTAGCTTTAATCTGTTTTCTCCCAATTAGTCTACATGCCCTATCCAATCCCTGGGCACTTGAGAGACTCACCAGACAAGATGAAAACACGCATGCATTCATGTGTATTTGAAAAACAGGTGCCTTCTATATGCCAGTAATGATGATGTTAAGTCCCAGGGGTACAGGACAGAATAAAACAGTCTGCCCTCAAGGAGTTCACTCCTAGTGAGATACAGACACTTAGACGATGTGGGAGTGTAAGGGAAGAGAGGAAGCAGTGACCGTCCTGTAGAAACCGCTTTCAAGAACCATGGCTGTGAAAAGAAGAGCAAGACAGGACATAGCTAGAGGGAGCAGAGACTCCAGAGCCTTTAGCAGGCAGTATTAGGGGGAGCAGTGAGAGACCAGGTGGGGGGATGGGGGAATATTTATGAGAACAAAAGAGCTGAGGAGGGGGAAGGGATGAGATCCTGAGTCAAGGGAAGGAGTTAAGCTTTTCTGCAAGGGCATCAGGGAGGTAGAGATGAGAGGTGTGAAATCTCTCCCCTGCTATTGGCCTCTATTTTTTTCTGTTGAATAGGAAGGAAGTTTCTCTGCCGAGAAGCAATGGCTTGAAGCAGTTGCTATGGGGAATGGGGTAGAGAACAAACTAGAACATGAAGCAGTGTCAGGCAGTATTAGGGTGGAGAGTCACCTGTCCATGCGGATGGATAACTTTTGGCAGCTGTGCTCACTAGCCAGGGACAGAGAAGGCCCAAGCAGGTAGGGCTGACCCAGGGCTGAGGTCATTCCAGACGGGTGTGATGGAGAGAGTAGGGAGAAGCCAACGAAGATGCTGGCCACAGAGAGGTTGAGCCATGAACCGTGGTATTTAGGTTGAATAAGGGAGAAAATAAAGATGGGATAACAATAGGTTGGGAATTCTTGGAAGATCAAGGGACTGGATGTTGTGATGAGGACAAGAACAGGGAGTGCAGTACAGAGACAGGAGAGGAGGGAAGTCGTGATCGGAAGGTGGGATCAGGCAGCGTAAGACTTTGGAAGTGAGACTATATAAACTCGAGAGCTTTCCTTAGTATTATTGTCTACTAATATAAAAGACTTAAGCTGAAGTGACTAAAAGGAAGATTGGCCTGCCAGTACATTAAAGATGGATTGGAGCAGGGAAGGACCAGCTGGGCAGGAAAGATAGGAGGGAA